TTTTCGAGGTATTTGGGGGTGCTCATTACGAATATGGCACTCATTTCTAAATCCAAGATGGCGGACACGAGTTTTCAAATAAATGCAATATGGGTATCATTTTCGAGGTACTTGGGGGTGCTCATGACTAATATGGCACTCATTTCTAAATCCAAGATGGCGGACACGAGTTTTCAAATAAATGCAATATGGGTATCATTTTCGAGGTATTTGGGGATGCTCATTACGAATATGGCACTCATTTCTAAATCCAAGATGGCGGACACGAGTTTTCAAATAAATGCAATATGGGTATCATTTTCGAGGTACTTGGGGGTGCTCATGACGAATATGGCACTCATTTCTAAATCCAAGATGGCGGACACGATTTTTTCAAAAAAATGCTATGTGGGTATCATTTTCGAGGTATTTGGGGATGATCAATGTGAATATGGCACTATTTGTAAATCCAAGATGGCGGGCACGATTTTTCAAATAATGGCAAGTTGGGTATCGTTTTCGAGGTATTTGGGGGTGCTCATTACGAATATTGCTTTTGTTTGAACTGTCGTGTTTGCCATCTTGGATTTAGAAATGAGTGCCATATTTGTATTGAACATTCCCAAACATCTCGAAAACGATACCCAACTTGCCATTATTCGAAAAATCGCGCCCGCATCTTGGATTTAGAAATAAGTGCCATATTCGAAACCTAAAACCGAAAATGCCATAAGCAAACATTAAAGAAAATAACTGTTAAAATAGATTAAAAAATCGCTTAAGAATGCTCCCCTTTTAAGAAAATAAAATATTTTAATATAAAATATTTCGCTTGAGTTACGAAAAGAAAGACATATAATAAGCTATCAAAGTTGTACTGGTGGTGCCAACACTATAGTAGAAACAAATATATACTGTAAATTTGTTGCAATATGTGCTCCAATTCAAATAAAATTAATATAAATAATTATTCAATAAAGCATGAACGCAGAGCCGTTAAAAGTATTATAAAATAATTAAGTGTCCCAATCACTTACAGGAGTTAACGAAAACATTTCATGTTTATTCGAGTAAATATTAGTTCAAAATGCGCAAATAAATCGAAATTACAGGCACCACTAAAATTTACGTAATATAATTATTTCGATACAGAATAGCAAAATGGGGAGAAAAAAAATTCGTTACTTTGCAACACTTTCGTATCTTGTTGCCGCGAAATTATTTTTTTGTTTTAGTGAATATTTACATAAAAATATGAGTTGAAACGCATTATTTACTTGTGGAATGCGATGTTAGTGTCTATTTTGTTTGTCTGTTGTATTTTTACACCCATTTACCGCACATTTCGTCATTTTTAGCAAAAAATTTTGGAGCTGTTCGCGGTGCAATATGACCTTGAGCACTAACAGCCCGCGCGCTCCTGGGACGCGTTTGGAACCCTCTAACTTGCCTCACTTAGCGTGTGCGGGCTAGGTTTCTATGCGTTATTATTCTAAGGATGGAGCCATAAAAATAAAAAGTGAAGTGATTGATTCTGCATAACAGTGGAAGTGTTGAATCAATCACTGTCAAAAAAATGTAGTAAAATTGAGGATTCACACTGATTATTTATTATACGGTGTATGGTTTAATACACGATTCCTAAAAAAATTCATAATAGAAAAAAAAAAACAAACTTATCTCGAAATTTTACAAGAAAACCGCTGTATTCGATATGTACTTTGCATATACCAATGATTTTTTTTAAATCGACTGAACTAAATAGAATACGTATAGAATACGATATACATTTTTCAAATGGCTTTAATTTCGTCGGTATAAAAATACATTCTTAATATTCTTAAATCCTGAATCCGCTTCTTGTAGAGTATCTTAACCTCTACTACATGGAGATATACTGCTAACAACACTAATGTTATGATTATGAATACAAAGATCGAACACACAGAAAAAATTTTTCGTCGACACGGTGGGACTTGAAACCACGTCCATGCTGCACCGTAGTATTGCTCTAACCGTCTGAGCCACGGGTACATTGTACTGACTTTCGGCATTCGTAGCAGCTAGTGACATCTAGTGAGTGATTTTTGAATAGCCTTCTCACCACAGCCGATATCTTTACAGGTATCATAACTGACGCAGGTGTCGCTTTTCGATCAAATGTATTTATTGAGATTTTTGTAAAATAACTCCACTAGTTTTGTTTGGCATGGACGTGGATTCAAATCCCGGTGGGTTGACGGAAAAAAAAAAATTTTTTTCTGTATCTTACATCCAGTAAAACTAGTGGAGTTATTTCATAAAAAATCTCAATAAAAACACCAATTTTATTATTTTTTATTTGTAGGTTATATTTTTGGACCTCATTCCGTTGACACTGTATGGTATACAAATCCCACAATCCCATATTCAGTACAATTTGGACTATCGCCGTTTCCCATCATAATCAGTCATTGTTGTATTTTGTATTTAACACTTACACTAAAATCGCCTGGTAATTAGACGCTTAGAAAAGCGCTGCAGTGGCACCTCTATAAGCCGTCTTTCATCGTCATCTCAGACTAGACAACTAGAACAGAAAATATAAACCCCTCGAAAATATAAAACCAAATCTCAAAAAAGGAAAAAGTACATGAATTTGAGGTTTTGAGGTGTGACATTTTCTATTCTAGTTTATACAACCTCATATTTTTATTAATTTAATCTGTGTATGAAATTCAGGAAAAAATAAATGAGTGTTTTGTAATTAGTAATTTATTATTATGCAATTTATTTTTTCTAAAATAGATCATGTTAATTATATTTAAAGAATTACATACCTTAATTTAAAAATAAATTTACTTTTTTCCTCCTTCCTCTAAATATACCTCTCATTCATATTTCATTAGTGGTAGGGCTAATCCTTACGAATTTCATAAATGCGAAAGTGTGTTTATTGGTTTGTACTTCTTCGCGAAGCAACGGAGCAATGGATCGGCGCGACTTTGTATAGTGGTAGTTTAATGTCCGAAGAGTGAAAGAAGTTACTTTATCCCGGAAAAGTACACAGTTCCCGTGGTATAGGAAAGCCGAAATCCACGCAGGCGAAGCCACAGGCAAAATCTAGCTTGACTCATTTGTGTGAAGGAACCTAAAACATTTTCACATGCTAAAAAAAAATTTGTTATTTAAAACATATACTTTTTTTTTTACCCAAAATCTAGCGGGTGCGCCCGCTATGCGGTATATCAAAAATTGTAGAAAAATATGAAGTAATTATGCCGAAGGATATTAGGAGCAATCTTTCGAGAATTGAGATATCCATTTTTAAAGATGTATTTCCAGACTGGAAATATTCAAACAAGTTAAAAAAGTTCCAAAAAAACCCAGCGAGTTACAGCAAAATAACATTAAATTGATTCAACTAAGTTGTCTGAACCAATTCCCGCCCTTAAAAGTCAAGATTTCGAAAATTGATTTGTAAGTCTATGACAATATAATATGGATTAGAATAGTCTATGGATTTTCAGCCCACCGTGTGGCGCCACCAGTGGACAACGAAGCTAACATAATTTATCTCCAAAATTTCGCAATATTGATGTGTCATTCAAATTCGATTTAGTTTCAAAGTGACGGGGCAATACTGTCGCTTTGAAACATAATAGGTAATATTAATATAAATCAAAGCCATTTTGAGATAATTCTATGTTATTTGTCATGTGCAATGTGTAGTATTATTATATCGTAAATACTTTCTCGACACCGCGATAGTATCTAATGATGGGTCCAAGTCCCGAAAATATCGTAAAATATTTGAATACAACTATAATTGTATAAACTTGTGACAGACTAAAAACAACAGACACAGATACCCGTGTATTATAAACACATATTTTCGTCCACCATTCGTCATATTCAATCATGTATTGGGTCGATCCTATCTCTCCTAATGGCTGGCGTCATTTATCATTTCTGGTTACACCCACATGGCACTTTCACAAGTAATTGAACTCGTTTATTACAATTGTAGGTACATACAATTAATTATACTAATGCACAGAGACTTATCAGAATAAGTAAATAAAAAAAGGTTGCGTGTGTATCTGCCAGGGATGTTTGTTTTATGGAGACGCTTATTCTACCCTCTCTCGGCACGATAAAAACGCAACTAACATAACATACTACAACATACATAGGGTTATACAAAGATCGAATACACAGAAAGATTTACGTCGACCCGGTGGGATTTGAACCCACGCCCCTGCTACACCGTAGCATTGTTCTTTACCAACTGAGTCAAGTTACTAAGCCGGCGAATTCTCCTATGTGTTTTTGTTATATATCTTTGTACTTTTGGCATTCGTCGCCGCGTTGTATTCATAAACACACCTAGTGTAGTTATTTTACAAAAAATCTCAATAAATAAATATATTTGATCGAAAAGCGATGTCTGCGTCAGTTGTGATACCTGTAAAGGTATCGGCTACGGTGAAATGGTTATTTAAAAATCTCTTACTAAATAGATGTCACTAGCGGCGATTATAACAAAAACACATAGGAGAATTTCCACGGCTGATAACTTGACCCGTAGCCCAGTTGGTAAAGAATATGCTACGGTGCAGCGTGGATATTTACTAGTATTTATGTGGTCTGTGGTGGATATCGATGACTTTTTTTCTGTGCGTTCGATCTTTGTACCAACCCGTTCTTTTTATCAGAGAAAAAAATCTCCGAATTTTGATTTTGCTGCTTGTGCCTTTCTATTTCTACAAAATTTAAACCACGGAGGTCCGAGGCCCGTGATCACTATGATTATAAAACAAATGACCTACCCTGAACGTCAATAATAAAAAATATAATCGCATTCAATGTTTGAGAAATGAGAGCTACACGTCCTCAATCCGCTTGCCCATGGCCTAAATAACTTATATAAAAAAATATAAAACAAAAGAACCGTAGATACCTATCCGTGGGTAATTTTCAGGTTTCTCTACCTAATTTCGGTGGCAATTTTTATTATTTACCTACGTTACCTTCGAGTATCGTGAAAAATTAAATAATATTTGAGGTTACTACACTCGAATATCAATAATACTTCATGATTATATTCCACACTACTTAAATAATAGAAATGCCACCGAAATTAGGTAAAGTAATCTGAAAATTACCTACGGATATCTACGGTTCTTTTGTTCCGTGGTTCCACTCATCCCAGTTTCTTCTTTTATTCGACTAGTCGATTCCTTTCAGAAGTTTCCTAAAATATATATATTGTTTCTAATCTCTAGGGTGCGTACAGATCTGGCGAATGCGCAGAGCGCGTGCTGCTCGCATACAGTACGCGCGCTGCACGAATGCTGCATACGTGCAATTAAATACATGTTAAGCCGGGTACTCATTAGCTCATTATCTGTAATTGTAACGTGATTACATGACAGATACAGAAACGAGGTTCTAGTGTTTACGCTTGAAACAGTCTTGAATCAGAAGGCTCACTGCAAACCGCACGCGTTCCGCTCGCGGCAAGCTCGCGAACTACGTACACACTATGATTTTTGGTAACATAACATGCAACGGTTACAGCTCGCTAGCGAGTCCCCGGTTTTAATATATGTAGCACGCGAGCGGCGCGCCCACGGCATGCGAACAGTTCGCATATCGTAATGTGGGTACGTGTGCAGCTCGCGAGCCCTTCGCAAACTGGCGCATTCCCCAGACCTGTACGCACCCCTTGCTGTAGCGTAAAATTGTATAATTATTCTTTATTTACGTTTGTAAAACTCTCTCACTAACCAATACTCCTTCCTTACTATAACTAACGCAGTTGCAATTTGGTAAGTTTCCAAATACTGGCACCTAACACTGTGCATAAATAAAACAATAAAACTGAAACTGAATAAATAAACGAATAAATAAATAAACTGATTAGAGAGGGTCACACTGTCTTCGAGCTGTGCGTGTTGCCAGAGATGACCTACGGCTCTGAGACGTGGTCACTTATGTAGCCTCATAAAAAAGCTCAGTCATTCAACGAGCTATGGAGCGAGTAATGCTCGACATTTCTCTAAGTGACCGAATCAGAAATGAGGAGATCCGTAGAAGAACGAAAGTCACCGACATAGCTCGAAGGATTAACAAGTTGAAGTGGCAGTGGGCAGGACACATAGCTCGTAGACCTGACGGCCGGTGGGGCAGAAATGTTCTCGAATGGAGAGAGCGTTCAGTGAGACCGCCCCCTACTAGATGGACGGATGACCTGGTAAGGGCGGCAGGTAACCGATGGATGCACGTCGCGTCCGGAAATCTTTGGGGGAGGCTTATGTTTAGCAGTGGACGTCTTCCGGCTGATATGGTGTTGGTGGAGAAGGGGTTGCATGTCTTTTTTCGCTTATTCCAGTTAGGTTAATAACTCAATTTCACTAAAAACGTCGATTATGTTAGTTATAATAAGGGGGATAGAATACCTTAAGTGTATTTCCTGCGGCAATTAAACACTTTAAAAATAAATTATGATACGTAGATACAACGCGGATCCTCTTCGCAACGTGGTGGCTATTCATAATCCTGCTGTCTTCTTTTTACACGGCGAATTTGACGGCTTTCCTAACTCTCTCCAAATTTACTTTGGAAATAAGAAACGCAGATGACCTGTATAAGAAAAACTATCGTTGGATCGCTAAAGAAGGAGGCTCTGTGCAATTTATAATTAATGACGTAAGTATGAAATACTCAATAAAATAAATAATAATTAATTTTGGACAACCGTCTTAGAGGTATGGAACTGCTCGTGATATATATCTACCTACTCAGAAATTTCTAGTTTGTTTTGTGATTGCTCAAGTCGCTGTACAATAGACTCTGCTGGCAAGCTGATGTCTCCCTAATCTGCTGCTGAAGGTTCTTAACCCGTAGAAGGCTCTACTTCAAATGTTTAATGTTCAAACTGACGCAGTTTTCTCGTCTGTTAACTCATGATACCGGTACTAATCTAGATACCTGTATTTTTTTTGTTATTAGCACATTGTCAGCTAGCAGCGGAATTACATGTCTTAATTGAAATTTAAGTATCGTCTGTTAATAAAAGCACAGAGGAAATTTCGAGACCCGGGGTAATTAAGTTCAAATTTCGAAATTTTTTTCATACGTTGCTAATGCCCCAATGCCATACAATCTATCTGCGGACATGTAACCAAATACTGTCCTAACTCAAAATTGTGGAATTGAGACAACACGAATAGGTACTGAATAGATCTTATTGCGAATAATGTGATTGGTTATTTTTATTTACACATAATATTTAGCTTTCCATTTATAAATGAGAATATGTATTTATTACTTACGTTCAGTAATTTTTTGAAGTTCGTGTCGTTTGTGAAAATCGTGTTTTGTCAACTCCAGTTTTGTGTTAGGACAGTATTTGGGTTCACGTGTGATGTGAGTATAGCATTTTGTACGGGAATTAGGAAAAAATCACGTTATGGTTTCTTTGGGGAAAAGGTTCTGTATTACAGGTCAAATCCCAGGGAATTTTAAAGTTTCTCCTTTTCAGTCTCACACTATAGCGCGGGTATATAATTTGAATGTGATATTTTCATTGTAATCTACACTGGGCGTTTACGTGACCACAGGGATTATATTGTCCGGCGTCCTGATTTTGATTCAAATGTGGAATCGATTCGATCGGGTAGTCTCGAAATCAGATAGGTTTCTGAACGAGAAGATGAACCTGATTCCTACTATATCTTTCAAATTTGTAAGTTAAATCAACTATTGTTCCGATTAGAAATGTCAAAAGTTTCCGATCGGCCAGCTGTGAATCGGAATTATGCGCCTCGACTCGGAAAAGACGCAGTTTCCGATTGGGAGAGGCAATCAAAATCAAGCTGCTGGTGGACGATGATGACGATGGAACATCAATTAAGATTTCATAAAAAAATCTGTTAATTTTTCAGCCAGAGGAAAATCAATATTACTTAAGCAAGATGGTAGCAAATGGCCGAGGAGAATTCAAACCCGTCTACGCTCATTACGAGTTTTTGCCTCTCGTATTAAAAGGGGCAGTATTGATCAAAGAACAGACAGCAATAGATCACATCATGTACGGTGATTACCTACAGAAAACAAAGCAAGGAATCGACGAGTCTAACAGATGTACATACGTCGTCGCTCCAGAGGTTTTTATAAAATTGCCCAGAGCGTTTGCGTTTCCGAAAACCAGCCGTTTGCACGAGTTATTCAATCCTATGTAAGTTTATTTTTGCGATTTTTTGGGAAAAATCTCCACTAGTTTTAAACAAAGATCAAAGAACACACAGGAAAATTTCTTCGACCCAATGGGACTTGAACCCACGACCACGCTGTACCGTAGCGCTGCTCTAACCAAACTGAGCTACAGGTCAAGTTATCGTTTCGTCGAAATTCTCCATGTGTTTTCGTTAACGGTCTTTGTACTGGATTTTTCAGCATTCTGCGCCGCTAGTGACATCTAGTGAGAGATTTTAGAACCTTCTTCACTTATGCAAGTTTCTAGTATTTTTATCACAAACGTCTATTGATTTCAAATGAACAGTTAAGGCCTAGCATAATAAGACTAACAGAGTTTATCCCGCCTGTTCAGCGCGTCAATGCATGTATGTACGTATATTTGCCTTTCGTTTCAAATGTATGGTTGTCACATTAATTTTAGTTCTGCATGAACTTGCAAACATATAAAAAACCGACCTCAAAAGTCATTCATCCCCTAGTTTACCACCCTTAGAGGTGGAATATATTCTTCAAATTTAAATGGCACCACTTCTGAGGTACCCTCTTTTGAACCAAAAATAATCATCCTCATACATACATACAAATACAAAAAATAACCATACAGACGAATTGAGATCCTCCTCCTCTTTTTGAAGTCGGTTAAAAAATAAGCAGTGTTCGGAATAGGTAGAGTTTTTTTGACGAACAGAGACAGAAAGTTGAGACTGTCTAACGACAAGAAAACAATTTTGGAATAGTCAATTTTTTGGTCAAGTGTGAGATGTCCATAAAAATAAATAATAATAGATAATAAATTTAATGTACGTAAGTGATTTCCCTAATCCCGAAAAGATCCAGGACCTAAAAATATTGTTGTAAGGCAGTCTAGTCCGCTTTTCTGTCAAGTTCCTCCAAGTTTAGGTAAAAAACGTTACCTATTCCGATCGCTGAAAATAAGGTATTCATCGTTAAAAAAGGTGCACTAGCAGCAGAGCTCCTTGTGAAAGAGTTCATCCAGGGAAGTACTGCCGTCTTACCTATTTCTACCGCCAAGTAGTAATTTGAGCTTCACTGCGTTCCGGTTTTGAAGGGTAAGGGTACTGATGAAATTACAGGCACATGGGACTTTTCAACTTATGTCTCAGGGTGATGGGCGCAGAGGCAGTACACTTCAGATCTTTGCGATTTAAAGCTCTGAGTGGCACTGCAACTGTTATGGACAGGCGTGTCGTTTACCATCAGGCGCACGACTTGTTCGTCCCATCACTTAGCATCATAAAAAAAACCTTTGTCAAATGCAGTACTTACATTGATATTTTTATACCAGTCGCGGATTGGTATCTCCATTATGGGAATACGATTATGAAATAGTCAACCACAAACACAACAATAAAAACGTCTAATGTATTTGACGTCATTTTTTAAACTTCGAGGAGACGCTTCAATTCTATAATTTATATATATATAAGTTCCACACGTTTTTTCACATTTGTTTCCGTTTCTGCTTCCGCAATGTTTATAACGGCACTTTAATCGGAAGTTTACAACGTTGACGCTCACGCGCTCGTTAGCATGATTTGCTTCGCACCGCCGCCGCGCGCGTTTTTTAAGTTTTATGTTGTGTTAAGTGTATTTATGAAACCAAAAACAAACCCTGTTTGGAACAATTTCGTTGGGATTTTATGGTGTTTACGCTTCCGCCTCCGCTAAGATTTACTTTTACCATCTGTTTCCGTTACATTTCCGTTGCATCACTAATCCTGCGCGACGTCGGGTGCTTACGGGCGAGAAACTAGGTGAAAACTCGCTGTCCTAGTACTACTCGTAATATATTAACATAGACCATTTTAATGTTCTTACAATATCTATATTTATATGCCTATTAAATATATATATTAAACCGATTACACTGTACAGATTCACGTACCTTCTTCAAGCGGGGATAATAGACTATCTGCAGACGAAAGACCTGCCAGGCACCAAGATGTGTCCTCTGGATCTGCAGTCGAAGGATCGTAAGCTGCGGAACACTGATCTGCTGATGACCTATATGATCATGGTCGGAGGGTTGGCGGTTGCAGCTATTGTTTTCATAGTAGAGGTTTGTTCCATAAGCCCTTTATATCACGATAGTGGACTACGGGGAATATCACAAATTACAGTTTTCCTATCACGTAAAGATTTCCTTTTTATTTCCAATATTTGGACCGTGGTGTAATCACGGAGCGCGTAACATGGTGTAATCGTTTCGAAATATAGGAAGAATAAAATAATATCACACTGTGGCAAGAAAACTGTAATTAACCCGTTGTTGGACAGTAGTCAAATAATACCTCACACAATACTTTCCTAATTGCCGTAGACTACAGCACATTTTATGTTGAATCAATACTACTACTTATAAAATGTTCAATGTAAATCATTGATTTTTGTCAGTAAGTCGTTGATACTTGTTTATGGAGAAGCAGTAGGCGGCAACTGTTCTGTGTAAGAAAGCAGTTTGTAATCGCACTGTAGAGCCCGTAGCTGTTAACCGACTTCAAAAAAAGGAGGAGAGTCAATTCGTCTGCATGTTTTTTTGTATGTTACGCGATAACTCATTTGTGAACTGATTTTGATGATTCTTTTTTTGTTGGAAAGAGGACCTAATATAATAATATCGCACCCCTCATGGAAGAATGGCATAAGTGGAGTTACGTCAAAAACGTTTATTGCTCCATTAGACACAGAAAAATATAACCCACATCCTCTCCAATTCTTGTAACTCTGTCGACAATATTGTAGATAGAGTTACAAGAATTGGAGAGGATTCTGTATCTAATGTACCTTTTGTCTTAATAAAGAAAATAATAAAATATAGGTTATAAAAAATATTAAATTACGTTGATATTCGCAAAGTACGCAAAGCTGAAGATCTTTTTCATTACAAGAACAGACTCATGCAATCAGTTCAAAGTTTTTAAATTAATCTGATTCTTGCATTTCCCAATATAAGTGTTATAACCTTGATAATTACAGTCCTTAAGTTGGATTTAAATTTGTCTGACGTGTAGTGTCGTGACGACGGTATCTGTTTCAATACATTTAATATGGTTAGATTTATATTAGTGTGTCGCACGTGACGTGATGGGTTGTGTCGTGTGTATGACACCGATGCCGTTCTGACACGTGACGACACGACGCATCAGACAAACCTAAATCCGGCTTTCAATATTTCAGTTATCACTTCGCCGCTGCACCCGCGTACAGCAAACGACCAAAGACGTTCGAAGCAACAAACGAAGAAAGAACAAGAAAATCCGCTTCAAAAATTACGACGAAAGTCGGCCGCCACCTTATGACTCACTGTTTGGCTTGAATTCTAGATACAAAACTTCTGATACTCCTAATAAGAAAATTATAAACGGCAGAGAGTATTATGAAGTCGTTACGCCTCATGGTGATAAGAGATTTGTACCTGTTAGGGCACCTTCTGCTTTTCTTTACCAATAATAATTGTGTGGTCCATTTAGCACTGTTGCGCCATATTTGTTTTTAAAAAAAGAACACTGGGTTGCCTCTTCGGACGGCGACGCAATAAAGCGGCAACATTGAAATTGAGTTCTTAATATAATGAGAAATACCACTCTGCATTATTAAATAAGTGTCGTTTTTATTAGGGCAATATAAAAAATATCCAAATCAGTAACCTAGTAGATTTACAGAGTTTTTGTCTTGTTTTAGAATAGGTAAGGTTGGAGGTAGTACGAGTTAGAAATTATAATTATATTAGAAGAGTTCGTTTTGATAGGTTAAAAGTGAAGCACCAAGCACTATTTGCAAAGAGCAGAACTATTTTGATGATATTAGAAATAAAACATTTGGTTCAAATACATATTTTTATTAAGTAACTGTGAAAATACATTTTCACAATTTCTCTAACATTTGAATCCATGATCAAAAACGGCTTTTCGATTTTACATAAAAAGAAATTTATTTAATATTTATTTATGAATTATAAATAAAAAAAATACTAGGGCCTGATCAATGACTTTTGCACCAGCAACTTTGGATCGTTATTGGATAACACTCGTCGGAATCGGCTATAGGCAGAGGTTGCCAATTTCCACGAGGTCGGCGTACTGTTTTTTAATTTGAATATCTTATTGCCTTTAAAAAACACAAAAGCGAGTGAAACAGGCCCAATAATTACTTAACAAGGCTGTGCCTACTTAATGTAAAATATTCTACATTTGTACATAAATACACTATAGGTACACAAGGCAACAAAGTTACACCTCGCAGAGATATTCCTACCTAATATTGACGAACGAATGGTGTTACGTGAGGTGTAATTTTAGATGCAAACTGTACATTGAGCAGTGACGGCATCACTTCAAAAATCAGTCATACATTAAAGGTCGATACAAGCTACAACGGGCATGCAAAAAAAGTGCGGCGAAATCTAAAATAATCTTTATTTGTACATACACTAGTACATTTAGCGGAATACGACAACAATACAACAACGCTTGTTTTATATCCTCAAAATAATGCAGTGTTTTTTTCCAAGTGTGGTCGGTTATCTATATTTTTAGTTTTTTCATACTTTTTATTTTTATCTCTAATTTGAAAGTTAAAAATTAGCAGACTGTAATTTATTGCATTCATGAAAAAATTAAAAATTAGTTCATTCATGGAAAAAATGAGTCGACAATTTTTTATTTTCAAATTAGTCCTAAAATTTAAAAAGTAAGATAACAGACCACACTTTTGAAAAAACGCTGCATTATTTTGTTTTAAATTCTCTACTATTACAGAGTTATCGCGTGGTTCGAGGTTGATTTTGCGTTCTCGCAAATTTCGTAAACATTAGTTGAAGTATTTAAATTTATTAGTATTTGATTTAATCAATGTTAAACTGACTTTGTCACAAAATATGAAGAAAAAATAACAATTGTTTTTAAAAAAAATATTTTCCTTAATTTTGTTTTTTTTTTCAATAAACATGGAGTAAGGCTGTACTAATTCTTATTTATTTAAATATAAATGTCACTATTTACTATTATCTTATTTTGTTTTTGTACCGTCAAATGTGCCGATGAGTTCTAATAGAATAGATATTGATTTATAACTGCATTTAAATAAAAAAAAATATGGGTTGTTGCTGCCTTGTCATGCCCGCAGTAAATTGCATAAATCTTAACAGAACGTTCATAAAAAAATTACATAAATATTTTATATTTATAAACTCTTTTTTATAAATAACATTATCTATAAACTTAATGAAATAAATAGTCGAATTTATAACTTTTTATGAACATTGAAGCCCGTTGTGGCAAGAATTGTGAAGTGATGATTTGGCGTATTTCGATGCTTTGGTGGTAAGACTGGTAAGTATAATTATAAAGAAAAAAGCTTCAGTATGTATATTTGGACTTCAGTATGTATACTGTAGTCCAATATACACGTAATACCTGCGAGGAAGACAGACGCTCATAATTAAGAATGGAAATGAAATGTGATTTTTTAATGGTCCATATCATTGAAAAATATAGCCTTTTTCTATTACAGTACAACATTCAAAACAGTCTCTGCTATCTCAATCACCACAACTTAATACAACAAATCCCGAGTTACTATAATAAAAAATCTTTTGCGATATATTTTTTATTTAATAATGATAATCACAGTATTTGCCTCAAAATTTAATTATTAAATCTACAATAGGATATTTATTAGTACTTTTAAACGTATCTAAACAGTGGGAATTATTTTTTAATCTTCTTTGCTTATAAGCCACTGATCTAAAGCTCTGTTAATTTAACTTTAACATTAATAAAAACTGATGATGCTTCGATTTATTGGTCGAATTTAGTACATTAATTTGAAAAGATTTTTGGCACAATACAGGGGAACCTAAACGAGCTTCATTGTATTTGCAAATACTTATATTTATTAGTCCAGCTAGTCCATAACACCTATAAGCTGTTACCACTTTAAGACACATGAAAACCAACAAAAATAAAAAAACAGTAGTTCCATTCATTTTGGTCGATTAAGTATTATATTTATAACGGAACAGCCAATTGTTTTCCCTATAGTAAAAGTTGATTGGTAATACAGAAAAACTTTTTTAAATTTCAACAATTTTTTTTAATAGTCACCACATTTATCGACGAGGAATCGGTTAGAGGCGAGTTTTACCATACTTGTTGCATTACGTTGATCGGCCGTCGTCGATACTGCCGATCGGTCGTCAACAGCGTTGATTGGCAGTCATCGATACTGCCGACCGGCCATTGATACCACTGGTCGGCGGGGGTATAAAAGGTGGCTGAATCGCTCGTTCCCTTGTGATTGACAGGTGCGTCGATATTCCTGATCGGTACGGACGTGTATCCTCGTAGTGATTGTACTTATTTACGAATTCGCTTTGATTTAATTTCTTGGTGCCCGATGATCGAATTTCCTATCCAGTTGGAAGTCTCGAGTCTAATGCGATTCCACGTCAATATTGTTGTGTCTCTCCTCTGATGTTAAATAACGTCAGACAAATTTTTCAGGGATTTGTAATTTCGGTTTAGCTCGGTTGAGTTGCAAAGCTCGATCTGGTTTGACGAGTTATATTTATAAATCAAAAAGGTAAACATACAATGTATAGTGGAGTGTTCGTTACGTCATTTTCATTTACAATAAAAATACGGATACAGCAGCTACGTTAAGGTTTATATATAACGGACATTCACTTCAACTAAGGAAATTGGGGAAATTAGCGAGATAAGCAAGTTTTTCGTATTTACAAAACGAACTTTGAAAGTGAACTCAATGTTTAATTTAATTTCTTGCTTAAACTTAGGCATAGTTCGTTTTGTAAATACAAAACAAACTTTAAAGCTAAGCAAGTTCGTTTTATAAAAACAAAACAAACTTGCTTAGCTCGAAATCTGTGCTCAGTCTAAATCAAGTTCGTTTTAAAAATCTCAGCCTTAGTGTGCAGAGGGACAATAAAACCAACTTTCGTTCTAGGTTTAGAACTTTGAGTCGTCATAGTTAGGCTAAAGTCGACCCATAAATCCAGCAAAGCGTATTAACGGCGTGCTTTAAAACTTTTCACAGTGAAAAGTGCAATAACTAATAAACACTATAGTGTAATTGTCTATCTATCTAAGCCATTATTGCAACGTGTTACCCGCAAAATTCATCTAGAAATCGTATTATATAAAATGCGAACCCTCAGCGACCTCTACTTAACACTAGCGCAATGTGATCACAATTTTTAAGTATAAGAAATTTATTCTAAAATCACGGTAAGTTTACAAATTGTGAAAATTAATAATAAATACAAAAACAAGTCGTCAACTGTTTCTAAAAATGCACACTATTACGGAGGAACAAAGCTTAGACTAAAGTTAGCATAAAATTTTAAAACTAGCACTATATACTCATAATTAGTCTATTTGATACTGACCAACATGAGTTAAGGTAATCAATAAAATGCGTAATGCATAAAGCTGTAACAAAAATACGGAGATATACAATAAAATATGTAATAATAAAAATACACCAAACAAATTTCTATGAGACAAGTAAATAAATTAGATAAACTTCATAACGTCTAGGTTTTTGATTGCAACAATTCGATTTATTATGTATTATTTAACATATACATACAACACAATACATAGCAAATACAAACAATAAAGCTATGCTACTTGCGATTATGTATGCTATATAATGAAATAATCTACCATATAATTAAGTTACATTATACAATATGTATTTACGTCGAGCTATCACTTTGTATTATGAACACTTGTCGGTACATGAGAATATGCCGTTAAAATTTTTATTTTATTGTGGTTATTTGCGAATAATGAAAATATCAAATGAGGCTACCAACGCAAAAGTGGTGTAACCCACATTTATTTTATGACGATGCGACCTCCTTCCATCGTCATCCCATCTTTTTATCACCTTTTCTCTGGTTCCTGGACATTTGATTTCAAATTTAGAATCATTCTTTGAGTCCTTTGTCTCGTCGTTCTCATTTTGTTTCGTTCTCACTATCTGTTTAATCGCTGAAGCAAGCAGTGCTGGTCGTCTAATTTGATCCTTTTACCAGTTCCTAACCTAAGTGCCAAATTTAATACCAATCTAACCTAGTAATATTGTATAACACGGCCCTTTCGGGGTAAGTTTCTCTCAAGTTTTTAGTAGTAGTACTTAACTTACACGTAGGAAGTGTTTTGTAGCGCTGTACCTGTTTTTTATACACATTTCTTGTTACAGCCTTCGCAGCGTCCACACATCTTGCTTAGCGAGTTTAAAGTTCAAAATTTATAAGTAAAAAGTAATAGTGGAAATAAATTTGGTTTTATAAAAAATATTTTTAAAGTTTTTTCTGATCCTTTAAACGTCTATCGCACAAGAGATTTTCGGTAACGGTAAACGGGTCAAAATTGGACGAGCAGCACTGCTCGCTTCAGCGATTAAGCAGAGAGTGACGACGGAACGAAACAAAATGAGAATGACGAGGCAACGGAATTAAAGAACGATTCCAAATTTGAAACCGGCCAGGAATCAGAGAAAAGGTGGAATCACGATGGAAGGAGGTCGCATCGTCACAATTTCTTTCCTACAATAATAAATACTTTAAATGATACTAAAGGACGTTTTCATATTTTGAAATTAATATTATTATTTTTTCTACATGAAAATAGTATCCAGATATAAACTTAATTACTTATGTACTTTAGTATTATTTAAAACAATATGTGGGTTTCACCACTGTTGCGCTCATAGCCTCAAATTAGCTTGCGGTGGAAACTTTGAAATGTATTTGACCCTACCTCGTCAACTGAAATTCACCAGTGCAATTTCGATCATATATATGTATGTGTATGTGTGTGTATCGATAAACTTAATGGAAATGTAGTCAGATATTGAAAGGCGTAGAAAACGCTGGTGAAATTAGCTAGGTTGTCAATAGGCAAACGTCTGACGAGTTACATTTCAACCATCGTCATTTACATTTTTTTGATAATAATAATAAACAATAAATAATAATGACCTGTAAAGGACTCGAAACGTTGGTTTGTTTGAAAAAACAAATATACGCGATTTAAATACGGAAAAATAGTTTCATTTCCTATGTGTAACAATAAGAACTCATAAGAACTCGACATTTTTTTGATTTTTTTTTTTCAATATTTTTGTGTGTGTGTGTTGTTTCTTTACTATTTCAGGGTGCAACAGTAACTAGTCAAATTGAAACCGTAGACATTCGAACCACCTTGCATTTTCAGTATTAAATACGCCCTTAAAAAATTGTTTGATTAACCAAAAACTGAAACTATTTTTCCGGATATAAATCGCGTAAATTTGTTTTTTCAAACAAACCGACGTTTCGGGCCCTTTACAGGTCCCATGGTCACGGTTGACGGTTGACATGGGACCTGTAAAGGGCTCGAAACGTCGGTTTGTTTGAAAAAACAAATATACGCGATTTAAATCCGGAAAAATAGTTTCATTTCCTATGTGTAACAATCGCGAAAACCTAAGAACTCGATATAACCAAAAACTATCAACGCCATTGGAAAACTTGGTATACTTTACTAAACGTCGTTTCTGTGTATCCTTGTTGAAAATTTGAATATGTAAAACCTGGGAAGACTTAACAATACTCTTATATAAATATTAATACAAAGATCGAATACTAAACACAACCCTTCACCATAACGTGGCTTACATAAATTGCTCATAGATGGCGTTACGACAAAAAGTTGATAAAAACAAAAAACAAAGATCTGCAACAAACACATAAAAAAATTGTAAGGGCTGGTTCGTTCCGTAGCTCAGTTAGAATAGCGTCAGTTGAAGGCGCAGGTTTCTCGTCAAGCTGGATCGAATGAATTCTTATCTTGTATTAATAATTATAACAAACTAGTGGAGAAATTTCACAAAAAAATAATTTAATATCTTGTTAGTAAAATATCGTGATATTCTATAGACTTCATATTTTTGTATTCTAGGCCTTTAAAAATAAAAATGTAAGGTGGCTACAATTATGTTCCTTTTTAATATCTACGTAGTGCTTGTTTCTTTTAATGCGAAAACAACAACAAAACTAAAAAAATCCCTGCATTACTGCCGTATAATTTCTTGAGCATACAAAGTTAAATTGTTATGAAGGATATTTTAAATTATACACGTATTGTAATACTTAAATGGCTATTTTATGATTACTTATTGCTTTTTGCCTTTTATAATATACTTATCATTCTAATATCAAAATTCTTTGTTGAAAATATGACCTATAATTGAAAATCTTTTGTGTATTGTTGCGGAATAAGATAACAACGACAATTACTTCCAACCGTGTCTGTTATAATGCAATGTAGTTAATAGCCACTCAAAGGATTTAAAATGATACTTTTACTATCGCGGAGGTAGGGTAAGGCCCGATACAGAAGACTTTTAGTATACCAAAGTATTGCTTGCCATCACTTCATTATGGGCCTTATGTTCAGCCCATAAAAGTTGAAGATAAAGCGTAAGAATTTCTATATTGCCTTTATTACAATTATAATAATGTCAGAAATATAGATTGTAATCTGTACCGATAACAAAAACATGCGTACGAATTACTACAGCGGTGTGTTAATCTGTTACGTTCAGATATTGAATGCTGTAAAAAATGCCGCAAGGTTTGGTTTTCAATAAAGAATTTTGACATGTTTATACAGCGAACTGTAATGCTATACAATCTGTGACGAGCTTAAAAGATTACACCGCGCTATTCACGTGAAAAAAAAGACACCAGGTCGAATACCCCGATTTAAGAACAAATTAATTATTTTGTTTACCTTCTGTATCAAATAAAACTTATTATCGTCGACTTACATTGTAAAAAAATGAGATAAAAAACTACCGTTGAATAATATGCAAAATTTGTTATTGTACTTTAGGGCTAAGTTATGGTACAAAAGAGAAAGAATTTAGAAAAGTTTTTGTGAACGGTGTGATATGAAGACAATGTGCAATTTGTGAAAATGAGGATCCTGTGTAATAATGCCGTTGGAACGTTATTCAAATGGCTGAATGTCAAATGGTATTCTGCAAAGATGTTGCAAAATATCTTCAACCTACTCTTGAATACACAATTTGTAAAGAAACTTGTTCATAGTTATACATAACTACATGTTCATTTATAAACGTTTGTATTATAAAGGAAGTTACACACAGAGCGGACGATACCTCCCTCTGAAATAACCGAATTATTTTATTGCAATTTATTGTATAGGTAGAAGAAAAGTATTGTAATGTGAGTAAAAATATAATTAATTAGTTTCGATTTTTTAGCTTTTATTTATTTTAATCATTCCGGGTTTTCAAATACAGGTATATTATACACTCTATGCATAATACTTGAAGATTAGGTGAATATGTGACATGTGACAATAATTGCCGTCTTCTTAGTTCCCGAGTAACTAGAAACAGGTAACACTCGTTATATGTTATTTTGATTACATTACCGTTAATACTAAATGAGGAAAGAATAGAAAAAAAGTAAGTGACTTAGAGCCGGTCCACATGACAAGCGTTCGACGCACGTTTACAACTATACGAATTTTAAATGTAAGAAGCGGTATTGGTATTCATATGCAGACGTGCGTTGCACGCACTAAATATAAAATTCGTGTAGTTGTCATGTGAACTTACTATTAATCACGTGCCATGTGAAAAGCGTTCCCAACGGGCAAATTATAACATTCGTTAGACGTCGTCGTCTTAAAGACTATAAAATGTCGACTTATAAAACAAATTATCTTAAATAACTCACATACTAACGTCAACAACTTTTGTTTTTGGTATTACCAACTTCACGTGCACTATAGTTGTGGAATACACCCTCATTCTATTCATAACTTGTACGATCTCCTTTGGGTTTTATAAAAGAGATTTTGTCTTACAAACAATCCAATCTTTATGCTAGGGACATATTTAGTAGAAAAAACGAGACTGAATTCGCAAAATACAAATCCATTAATAGCGCTAATTAATGAAGTACCATTGCGCACGAAAATTCAGCCATTTTTTCCGCCTGTATAATGTCTTCAGCCTTAAACGATGTAATAAAAACATGATCGAATCACCGCCTACTAAACACAGGCAGCGTGGAAAAGAAAAAAGACGAGTGTCCGGTTGTAATAAATCGTCAAATCACGAAGCATTACAAGCGCTTAGCAGACCTTATGTTATTTTGCAACTTAATTTGTTTGCTAGCTCACCGGGTTTCACAGCTGTTGCAGTGAAAGCGAGACGGAGTTAGGCGGTAGCCGGCAGCCCGGCCGAAGATCAGGTCGCCAACCTAACGGCGGTGGAAGGAGCGATCTGTCAAGAAAATAAGTGATTAATGAAAATCATCTACATCGTCAATCCTAAGAGCGATGTCACGTCGCGTCGTCTCCTGGTCCCTTGTCCAACGCAGCGTCATCGCTTAGGCGTCGCAAAACATCGTATGGCATCGCCCTAACTCTTTGAAAGCCGTGGACGCTTCAAAGCGCCTCACATCCACTTGGCTGACACGCCAATGACGCCTTTAAGCGTCAATTTTCAATTCAAATTAATAATTAAATATTAAGATGTCCTTGTGTTATTTGTATATTCCAGTTAAGTATGGATTCACAGTTGCATTTTACGTTCAGTTATGTTCTTCTTTGACTTAGGAGAATTGAATTAATATAAGGGGGAAATTCATAACATGTCAGATCTCTACATAGGCTTAGCGTATAAGGAACGGAATTAATATCTGTTAGTGGCGGTTGCGATTAAAAAACAGAACTTTGACTTCGAATAAGCTAATTAACGTGACCATGGGACCTGTAAAGGGCCCGAAACGTTGGTTTGTTTGAAAAAACAAATGTACGCGATTTAAATCCGGAAAAGTAGTTTCATTTCCTATGTGTAACAATCGCGAAAACCTAAGAACTCGCTAATTAATTAAATTAAACTTTATTTATTTATTTACTTTGAATTTACTTCGTAATTTCTTGCTGGAATTGCAGGCACTTCAGATCTTTGCGATTTAAAGCTTTGAGTGGTACTGCTTAGTCGAAAACAAAGTTCGTTTTATACAGAGTGTCGCAGACCGAGTGGTCCAAAAAAATATCGAATGGGAGGTCAGTAATAGGTATAAAATTGGACTATCTTTAGTAGTTTCGAAAATATCGCCATTTTGAATTTCTAATAGAATTTATACACTTTTTGAAGACAACTATTGGACACAAAGTGCTCAAATTTGACTTGAAAACTCATAAATAGTATAGGATCAATATAAGGTGGTTATTTGCTGTCTGTGTATTAAGGACTCTCTTTATCTATGACTTGTTTTTTTAAATTTATTTCTCATGTATTCGGGCTGACCAAAAATGTACTGCCGGGTTTTTGCATAGTAATGCAAAAACTACCTTAACTATTCACAATTAATAACAAAATTCAGAAATCTGAAAAATTCTAACTTTATGGGAACGTTTTCAAGTTAAAATTCTTCGCATCTGCAACTTCGAAAATTGACCAAAAATAATTTAAAAAAAAATAAGGCGAACCGATGTCTTTCTTTCACAAAACGTGAAAGACAGCAATACTTTATTTGATGAAACCATAATTTTATTTCATAATTTACAATAAAAATTATCAAAATGGCGTCCTTGTACAGAAATATATAAACGACGTCGTAGAAAGTTTCCACGAAAATTTCGAAATGTTTGACAGTTCTCTTTAAGGCTCAATTTATATTGCGCAAACGGAAGCAAATTTTTGTAATACCTAGGTATATGAACTTTAAGTTGTGTAACGTACAAACTAGATACGCGGAATTATCGCGCGGAAGATTTCGGTTCGTATCGAGTTTGTACGTTACACAATTGATCATAAAGGTCATTATTATGCAATAACACAAAGGTAAAATTCCTTCGATCTGACTGGACTCGAATCAGTGATACCGCTTTTACTAACTGAGCTACAGACCCACTCTGGAGATGTTATGAATTTGTCCAAGTCCATGTGTTTGTTTTGCAGATCATTGTATTGGATTGAAATTGCTTTTTTGTTGTCTCGTCTCAGTGGTAATGATTGCGCAAGTGTAAAAGTGTCCAGTAATTGGTAAAATTACACCTTTTGTTATTTGTTGAAAATAATAATGGCAAGCGAATTGTTCATGCGTGCCAGTGCTTTTGTTATTGGAAACGATTGTTTCAGTAATAGTGTGGTTAAATCATATTTCTTTCAATATTTTTTTTTGGTTCAATATTTCATATTCTGTCTATTACATTATTATGGCGTCAATTCATATGGACTGTTGCATATTCCTCTCGTAACATCTGATGACTTGATCCGTAGTTCAGTTGGTAAGAACGCCACGTTGAAGCATAAGCAATGGTTCGAGTCCAGTCAGATCGAAAGATTTTACTTCGTATTTGGTCGATTTGTATCAAACATCATGATATTCAATAAAAAATAAATAATCCACTCTCGGCTTCTCTTTTTAATGGACACTAGCGTCTTGCCAACGCAAACACTGACCGACAGCGTAATAGTGCCGAACTTTGGGTACACGCCGCGCGGACGTCGTGTCGACGCTGTGCGTGGGTTGGCAAAACGCTGACGCTCGAAAGACGCTAGTGTGGGGGGTCTCTAAACTCGATTGTATTTTTTTTGTATGTATGTTACGCGATAATCAATTGTGACGATTCTTGTTTTGTTGGAATGGTAGCACCTCAGTATTGGTCCTAATTAAATTTGACGAAAATACTCCACCTATAAGGGTGGCAAAGTAGGGGATGAATCCGGTTTCGCGCACTTTTCGGTAAATGATTTTAATAAAACTTGGCAAATAGATGTAATTCCACAAACTTTTGAGGTCGGATTTTTTTTATAAAAAATTTACAATTATGTCTCATTGTGTCGTAACACGTGTCACGTGTCGAGCGTCAAAAAATCTAGCAAATCAGTAAGCATAATAAAGCATTAACGCGTGTCGATGAGGCGAAAAACGAGTATCAGGAAGCTGTGGTCACTGTCGATCCTAATGGGAAAAAGACGTGTAGTCATGAATGTATGTTAACTTACCCGCATTCTAAAGCGTCAAGGTTCCTCGTACTATTCGTCTGATTTGGATTGCCTATGTTAGAGTTGACGGACTCAGTACGGGAGCCCATACTCCGTTGCCGGCAAAGGTATGGTGTAACTGCAGGCGATGGCGTGCTACGCTCCTGAAACGTGAGCATTGGGTAATTAAGCATTCAGTGGGTACTTGATAGATGACAACAAAAAGAAAACTCATGATATAAATTGTGAGGCCTTGTAAAATTTACAATTGAAGCTTTGGGTGACAAGGGCGTATCACAAGTGAGATTCGAGAAAATCGAAAATAAAGTTTTAATGTCTTATATCTTTTTAATATTTATAATATGACAACATACTTGATTATTTATTTGGCCTACACAATTTAGCTAAAAGATTCAGGTGTTATTATTATTTTAAAACAATTACAAACATTCGAAAATATTTTTTTTTTCTTGTGTTATTCGCCCTTGTTGCACAAAACCGGTAAATTTACCGGTACCCATAAATTTATGGGGCGTTCTATTGGTTTTAAAGGAAATAAATTGTGAATCAGTCGTATTTAAAAGAACATTGAAAAAAAACGTATTATTAACAATCTATTAAATTCGTTGGATAAAATGAATCGACAGCATCATATTTAGCAGGTCTCACTGGTTTCCTAGATGCTCCATGTTGAGGGTGAAGTTGCTCGTTTCAGATATTTTATTTTACATTAAAATAAGTTTTTACAAACAGCAGGTGGTAACGGGTCCGAAATTCAAAGTCACACTTATAGTCTATGCCACAAGGGCGGAGCGCCACCTTCTAAATGAATGAAATTTACGCCACCTAGTAGGGAGATCGAAATGGGTTTTTGTCACAAGATACTAGATAGTGTTTTACATGTTTTGATGCAATAACATCAACACGGGTTTTGGGTGCCGAACGTCCTTGTTGTTTCCAATGCTTCAATTGCATTTTAGGTTTTTGGTACGAATTTTAAATCTTATAGCGCAACTAAGTTAACTTTAATGGTTACGAGGATTTAACAATCTAAAGTAGACTAAAGTAACTAAGCAATACGGCACTAAAAATCAAATGAAAAAAGTGTTAATTTTTATAAATGTTCAGTTAACTAACACTAGTGAATGATTTACCATTTCAATACCAATTCTATGATGAACAGTATGAGCATGACGACGTCTTTTAAATTATACAGCGGACCCTAATTGATGATCTTTTAAAAAAACGATGGTACCTTTGAAGAAATTTTTAAGACATTCATTCTTGCAGTAAGTTAACTTGTATCAAGTACATGCTCCAAAAGCTTTTGAAACTCAAACAACCATTATATCTTTACCTGTGGGCTGATCACCCTTCTTCTCACTAACTTATTTCTTTATTTGTTGTAAATATATTTACTCGTTATTACACTTTAAGAACTAATGCACCGTGACACTAAGCTAATTCAGAAATAAGAAAAAAAACACATTATAATAATACACTCGATTCCCAAGCATCCATCATTTTACAGAACTTAAGCATTCTCAAAAGAGAACTATTTTAAGGACTTTACAAGTCGCACCACAAGTTTCGGACAGTCCGACTCGCCGAGACTTCACAAACATAGACGAGCAAGCTGTTGTTCCGCCTCACCTAATGCTAGTTACGAGTACGATAGCTAGTCCTGACTAGACATGTGCGACGATCGTAAAGTCGTCGTCGGCGGTATCCGTTGGTTTTTCGACCAGCGGCGGCGGTGGCGTAATCGGCTTGAAGCCGGCGTGGCTTATACTTTTCAAATGTTTAAAAAACATTATTTATTAAATATTGTGTAAAATCAACCTTTGTATTTTTTTATAATATCAAGTGACGAGACGAACAAGTCGTGCGCCTGATGGTAAGCGACACGCCTGTCCATGACAGTTGCAGTGCCACACAGAGCTTTAAATCTCAAAGATCTGAGGGGCACTGCCACTGCGCCCGACACCCTGAGACATAAGTTCACAAGTCCCATGTGCCTTTAATTTCACCAGCACCCTTACCCTTCAAACCGGAACGCGACAATGCTAACATTACTACTTGGCGGCCGAAATTGGTAAGGTGGCAGTACTTCCCTGGACGAACTCTTTCACAAGAAGCAGTAGACTGCTACTAAAACTACTAAATTTGCATTTGAACTTGTATATTGTATAACTCTTACTAATATAATATAAAATAAAATAATCAACTTAAACAATGTTTGTAAAATAATTTATTATTAGGAAATAAAATAAACAAATTTTCGCCACGTCGACTTTACGCCGTACAAGTTCGTCAGTGGCCTGGAAAAACCGTTAGTGGCGCCGTCTCTAGTCCCGACTAACCTTCCTGAGAAGGATGGCATAATATCAATACTAATGCTCCCAACTGTTGGACACTATAAATGGATCGCGTTATACATACGTACAATATGTGAACAATAGATAAGAACTTACTGTTCTATTAATTCTTCTACTTCAGTTTACAAGTAGTTACGACCACTTGTGACGTAATTATTGTACTGTATTTAATATCATTCACTGCTTGTTTCCACGTGTTAATTAAATATACAAGTTGTATTTAAATAAGACTATTTTTTAACCGACTTCAAAAAAAGAGTCTCCTCCGATTCTCAATTCGACTTTTTTTGTATTATTATAATATATTTGTATGTTACGCGATAACTCATGCATTTGTGAACCGATTTTGATGGTTCTTTTTTTGATAGAAAGAGGGTACCTTCGTAATGGTCCATTTTAAATTGGTCTCCCGGTTTAAACTTGAAGATAAATTTCCACCTCTAAGAGTGGCTAAACTAGGGGATGAATGACTTGAGTTCGGTTTTTTATGGGTTGGCAATTCGTAACCAAAATCAATTGTTCAAATTAAATGCGACAAGTAATTAAATCACGAAAGATGGTCTTTTGGTTTCTGTAGTATCCCTGACTTTATGTTCTGGTCGAGTGGCTTGCACACCGGTTTTCATGCCGTCGCCATTTCTGAGGTCTCGGATTCGATTCATGGCCATTCACGCAGAAAAAGTAACTTTTCTATATTGTCTCGGGTCTGGGTGTTTGTTGTGCGGTCGTTGTTTCTGATTTCTATAGCACAGGTGCTTTAATCACTTACTTTGGGATCAGAGCAACGTATCGACTCATCCGAAGAACAAAGTCCGATGTGATTAATAGCAAAAAGAGAATAAGTACCTTACGAGAATAATTTCATTATTCAAAGTAAGGCCTATGTAAAGGTGTTTTTCGTTTCGGAAATATAAAATCGAACAACGGTCGATCTGACATCCATAGCGAAGAAGAACGAACGAAATGTACTATGTCCTGAAAACAAGTAGTCTTGCACATAGATCTTTGTTCTACGGATGAGACGGTATGTGATGTTGTCTAACATTAACTTATTTATTTCAAAAAAAAAAATGTATATTTGGGATGAAAAGATTTGAGGTAGGTTAACTGCTTGACTTAAGAGCGATTACACACGGCGATTTTTAGCAGCGATGCAAACGCGATGCAGTACCGATGCAGTCGCTAATCGTCTACCATCGAGTATATAACCAGAAATAGAGACGAAATGTCATTTAACTTGTTGAAAACTATTCTGCCTTATCGTTACTGTGACAACTGCGCTCCGATGGACCAGCTCGAGTTCGAAACAATTGACGGGTGTCGTCAATGGGTGTCGTAACTGTTTCACTTCAAATCGACCACTTTACTTGAGCTTTGCTATAATGGACGAAAATTTGCAAAATTACATATTTAATATTTAATTACCGATGAAATGTGATTCCGTTTGTTTTGTAATTAGATGTTTTGCTGTTTTTCCCACACCACCGAATAGAACAGCACGGCATTGTTAGAGATATTATCTTTATTACAATAAATTCAAAATATTTTTTGGAATATACGGAGACGTACACACAGGTCAGTAGTTGGCTTGTCTATATTTCAGTGCAAACGAGAGTTGATATTTATAAGAGCTATATCGCTAATGTGTTAATAGGAATATATGGCCCTTATTTCGTCTCTATTTCTGGTTATATACTCGATGTCGTCTACCTTTACATATGCGTGCGATTTTAAGCGACGATGCAAACGCGATGAAAGCGCGCGACTGCATCGACACAAACGTGTGATTGCATCGCTACATTTGAGATTTATAGGCGATTGCATCGATGCAGTCGCGCGTTCTTCGCGCGTGGACCTGGCAGAATCATCAGCGGCGTAGTTCGCCTGAACTGCGACATAATGCTGAGTCGGGCCTTTTTTGCTGACAAAGTACACTCAACTCTACACCTGATGCAATATAACACTCCAGACCATACCCGCAAACCTAGACTAGCCTTTTTCTTTGATTACCATTGTACCTATGTCATAAGCTTGTTTGCAATGTACTCTGATTCAGCAAATAATCGAGTAATCCATCTATCTATCGTCGGCATCGCTGCTAAAAGTCGCGTTCTGTCAATTTTATTTATTACTTTTATTGTTAAAGGTACGACACGCAGTCTGAAGACAGGTAATGCCACTTTGAACGACTGATTGATAGTGTATTTATTGAAAAACATAAACATCACATTTTCACTTGCCGCGTATGTCATTTTTTCTTTGTGTTGAAGCCGGTATACAAAATGATCATCAAAATTATGTCTATTTTTTCAACGTTAATGGTAAGCAGTTAACTGTCGACATTTAACAAATAACCTATTGTTATACCCTACGTCGGTTGTCTCCAACCTATTACAAAATCAGTTCATTACCAATTCTAATGTCATTTTACAAACAACGCAAATTGTTACGAACCTTTACCTTTCAAGGGGGTTATTTTCAAGAAAATTGAGTAGCAATTTCAATTCTAAACAAAGGTCGAGCCAATTTTATTTCCTAATAAAAAGTGCATAGATAATTTCGGCAAATAAGAATGTGCATACACAGAAACCCTTTGTACTTAAGTCAATATTGATCTGTATTTGCAAATAGCACACAAAACTCCTCGTTCGGTGTTATTATTGACGCTTTTAAATAATATATCGTTGATTTGTCAATGTCAATGACAAATATGCAATGACAGTGACACGTGACATGCCACGTAATGCCATTTGTAATAATTTTCGGTGATGTTCTTTTTAACCGACTAAAAAAAATGGAGAAGGCTTAGACTGTGTTTTTTGTGTATGTTAACGCGACTACTTATTTGTGAACTGATTTTGATGATTCTTTTTTTGTTGGAAAGAATGCGGACCGGACCGCATTGGTCCCATTTAAATTTTAAGAAAATATTCCATTTGGGCACTTTCCAGTAACCGATTTCAATAAGGCTTAACAAATAGATTTAATTCCACGAAATTTTGCGATCGTTTTTTTAATAAAAATCTTATTAAATAATATTTTGTTTAACGGTCAATAGTCCAGTCGGGCCAATATGTTGCGGTCAGCTAATTGAAACCCGGTTAAGTGACAACATAATTTTTTGAGATATCATAAAACACCAAAACCAGTTTTAGAATATTGAAATTTCTGCTATGCATCGTTAGGGTAAGCTCCGATAAGTCGAACACGTTAACTAATTCTAATTGTTTTTAAAAGATAATTTTGTGCTCTATCTATTGCTATTTAAAACGGATATTTGACCATTTGTCAGGTAGCCGTTTTAGTTAGTAGACGGCAATATTGACTATATCATATACACTATGGCGTATGCAAAGATTCAAAACTAGTAACTCAAAATTGTGGTATTGAGAAAACACACACATTTAACTTAACTGCCAGATCATATCATCATGCCAGACTGCCACGCAGAGGTCCCAGGTTCGATTCCCGGGCCGGGAGAAATACATTTATTTCTTTCGTGAGTTTGTGAACGTGTAACGTTGTGTGTGTAGCGGGTGTCATGGACACACGTCCATGCTATATAAATGATGCAAACAATTTTTTTCTTCACCTGTAAAGTTGTCAAAATGAGATAATACCGATTGCCAGTTCACAGTCGATAGGTGAAGAGCATCATGAAAAGGATGTCACAAAACGCTGAATAATAGCATCAACTGATGACTTCGGTGAAGAGAGATGGACGCTCACACAATACTATGTACAGAATGAGAATTATACAGAGAGCCATAGAGCGTGACATAATCGGCATCAAAGTTAAGGACCAAGTTCCGAATCTGGAAGACAAATTAGGGTCGGCGGACTAAAGCACGTAAGTCAAAAAAGTGCTCAATTTTTTAATATATATATATTTTTGTGTCGTTTATAATCTTGGAAGATGTAAAGAGAATGATAAATTGTGGAAAAGATGCCACTGGAATATAAATTACAAATTAATAAAGTAACAAATGAATTTCACCTATGTGCTTTATTACTACGTTATCATTTGGATATAAAAGAAAATTGAAATCATTCTGGTTAGTGCCCCCGCCTCCGGAGCTAAATTCGTTCCTCTATTACTAATAGTACGGGGTGTTCCCAAGTTAAAGACCAGGTCATTTGTGTGGTTGTTGGCAAATTAGGCCATGGGAGAGGCGAGAATCTAAAATAATAATAATAATTGTTATTATTATTTTAGAATAATAATTGTTATTTTATTATTAGAACCTTATACGGAAAAAACCTTGGAGTAAGAACGTATGTTAATAACAGTATTCAAAGTGACAACGATTGGATTCTTATCGAAATTACTACAAGCAAATCATTAAAAACATTATTTATATCATCGTATGCACCGAGGTAAAAAAGTTTGCCTAAACCACTTGTATTGTGATTTTATTATTGTATATATAATTTTATTATTGTATATGTAATTTTATTATAGTATATTTAATTTTATTAATGTATATGTAATTTTATTTTGTATATGTAACTTTATTATTGTTTAAATGATTATGTCTGACACTGCCACCGAAGTCAACAGTGTGTGATCTTCAATTAAAAGTCGTATTGTAATTGAATTAAACTCGGTTCAAACTAAACTAAAAACATTTTACTCTTTTTATAACATTTTACACAATTAATTCAATACATAATCAATGGCAACCTGATATACATAACCATGATTCTTCGATAATTCCAAAACTTGATTCAATAACGAAATAATAATTTAACAATAAAACATATCCAAAGTGATTGAACTAGTAACTAGGTAAAAAAATCTTCTAAACCTTCGCACGATCGTGGAATACGTCCTCATATCGCATTTCCTTGAAAAAGATTATCGAACCCTTATTGTGTTTAAATAGTAAAACTGCAATTGAAATAGAATGGAACCCGGTAACAAACAAAAACAAAAAAAACTCAATAATACAAATGCATAACTAAATAAAGTCACAATAACAAAAACCAACAACAGAAAATGTTCTCACGTTTTTAAATCGATATTACTTTTATTACATCGCACTGTTAATACTATAGCGTATTAACTCAAAAAGTGTATTTTTTCAATCGATGAAAAATGAATTCCCTCCGGTGAAAGATTATTAAAATTTATGTATGAAATAAAGTTTATTACTGACGTCTATACAAAAACTAAACTAAAAATATGAAAAAATAATTCCATATTTTTGAGTAAGGACAGTTTTGTCCAGAACTAGCTCACATAAAGTAGATTATCTTTAATTGTTTCTTACAATATTGTAATGACTGTTTTATTGACTTGTTGAGAATAAAATTTTACGTACAACAATGGTATAAAGTTGAATTTCACGTATTTTGAGTTACAACACAATTGTAATAATAACAGTGCAATGTACAGGGCGTTCCACAGCTATGCCCATAGATATAGTAAAGAAGGGGCTATGCCACATGAAGGGAAAGTACTTTAAATACCGTAGATAGAAAATTTTACTGAAATAATTCATTTCGAAAAAAAAAACAATTCGAACCGCATTCAAAGATTTTTAAATAATCGCCTGTCTGAACCGGGAATCGAACCCGTCAAATATTAAAAAAATACACCAGTAATTTTACTATACTGATCGAAAGCCAAAATCATAAGGATTGTTTTCTTTTAAATAACATAGCATCTTAAAGAAAAGGAAGACCATGAAATTTAACACTTAATTTGAAATTTTTTCATTTTCAGGAAAATGAAAAATAAAATAATAGCTTATTTTATATTATTATTATTATAATAAAATAGCTTTTGCTCTGACTTTGGAGCGCTCATAACAACTGACATTATCATTTCTAACTATTAGTGTTGAGTAGGATATGAAATTAAAATGAGTTTGAGGGAGTAACTCATTTGAAAAGATGAGGCGGTACAATATCCTACTTCAAATGAGGTGAGGTAGTGGTAAGAATGTTTGCACTTACGGCAATGACTCAACAGACATGGAATATTAAGCACATTTTCGTAACTTACTACCTAACAAAACTTCAAATTAAACGTTAAATTTCATGGTCGTCCTTTTATTTAAGATGCTTTGTTATTCAAAAGAAAACAATCCTTATATTTGAGGCTGAGGGTCAATATAGTAAAATTACAGGTGTATGTTTTTCGCATTTGGCGGGTCCGATTCTCGGCTTGGACAATTTTACTTAAAAATCTTTGAATTTAGTTCGAACTAGCGAGTTCTTAGGTTTTCGCGAGTGTTACACATAGGAAATGAAACTATTTTTCCGGATTTAAATCTTGTATATTTGAAAAAACAAATATACGTAATTTAAACCCGGAAAAATAGTTCCATTTCCTATATAGTTCGAACTGTTTTTAAAGTCAAAATCAAGTCTTCTTTCTTTACAATTTTCTATCTACGGTATTTAAGGTACTTTCCCTCCGAGTGGCAAAGCGGTACTCAAGACGTACTCTTGTCCATATATGAAACTGTTCCATTGAATTATTATCAATCGATTTAACTTGGTAACCATTATGGCAATATTAAGAAAATTCTCTGTTAAGTGGTCAAAGTACATAACTAGACGAACCTGCTGGTTAGGGCCGCAGCATGTAGCGTGCTGGCAGACGTCGTTAGGCGGACAGTCCAGAACACAAGGCGCTTCAGCCGACGCACCACTCATTATCTGCGATAATCAGATAACAAACGTTTCACGTTTCGTCTTTCACTTTGAAAGTAAGGTTTATGTAAGCGAGCGCGCGCGCGAGTGCGTGCGTGCGTGCGTGCATGCGTGCCTGTGTGCGTGCGTGCGTGCGTGCGTGCGTGCGTGCGTGTGTGTGTGTGTGTGCGTGCGTGCGTGTGAGTGTGCGTGCGTGCGTGCGTGTGTGTGTGCGCTCGCGTGTGCGTGCAAGTGTGAGTGCGTGTGTTTTGTTTGTTTGTTTTTGGTAACAGATATTTTGTAGTATTGGCATGCTACATGTTACTGACTTAGCAGATAAAGCCCTGGAATCTGTAAATAGTCACACGAATATTTATTATAATAAACATTAGTGCCAATTTCCAGGTAAAACCACGAATTACATGCACTGTTGGCATCTGTGCAAACGCCAGGCTTTTAATTTTAAGATATAAAGTCATCTCTATGCCGTGTCACGAACTTCAGAAACGGCAATGCAAGAGTACTAAATAATAATTAAGTATAGTGATAACCACTAGGTATATACCTCGTTCCCATCAAGCGGTAGTTCGATGAACTCTGGCTGTATGGTTGTCGAATGGATGCCCTCGTTGTGGAAGAACTCTTTCACCTTTTCTGCTATTTTCATGTATTCTGACAGGTTTCGACACCTGTCAACAAGAAAAGCTACAATTAAGTTCTGTCCATATATGAAACTGCCACCGTGGCCGAACGGTTATCATGCCGGACTGCCACGCAGAGGTCCCAGGTTCGATTCCCGGGCCGGGAGAAATATTTGTATGGCCAACATTTATTTCTCTCGTGAGTTTGGGTGTAATTTGTGGTTGTCTATGTGTGTGTCCATGGCACCCGCGGCACAGGTTGTCCCTAGTGCGGGGCTATGTTGAGTGTGTGCATTATTTATGTAATGCTGCTTCTATATATTGCTGGACAAAGTAAAATATCTAAGGTGTAACAAACAGTTTCAGTCATACTTCATCTTTTTTATAAAGTTTGTCACTAGAAACTTTATATAAAAAAATATGTTGAATTTCAGAGCGATTACAAACGGCGACTTTTAGCAGCGATGCAAACGCGCGACTGCGTCGCTACACTTGTGATCTAAAAGCGATTATATCGATGCAGTCGCGCGTTTGCATCGATCCAATCGCCTGTAAATCGCAAGTGTAGCGATGGAATCGCGCGTTTCACGAACGCGCGTTTTGCCACTCTTATTCATTCATCTAACAGAATATATTGTTTGTAGTTAAATGTTCAAGAACTTCATAGGTAATTTATATTATGTATTTACATATTTACTAATCTGTGTAATGTGGAGCCAAAAATGTATTCACGACCTGACTAAATGGGACCCACTTTCGCGGACCCCCATTAACGTCTCATGAATCTCCTTTTTTTTTTTTCGCTGACGTATGTATGTTGGAGTCGACCACTTTGGGAATCTTCGATTTAGCTTAGCTGTTATTACAAGTGATCAGAATAGGCGGAGTATATTTAATTAAATTTTAAGGAAATAATACATATAGAGTGGACGACACTTCCCTCTGAAATTTTGGAATGAAATAAGAGGCAAAAAATCACTATATATATAAATACTAAAATGTGTGTCAAATTTTGTGTACTTCGTCACTGTTTCACATTTCTTTAAAAAGTTTTGAATTTTTCTGACATTATTTTCTCAAGATCAAGAAGAATAATGTTTAATGAAAGCAAATTTCGCCTCATTGTTAAGAAAGAAGTAAAACAGAAAAAAAAACCATTTTCGTTAAATACGACCGGTGGAAGGATTTTAGAAACTATGTATTTCCAGATCGGTAATTTCTAGATTTGAATAGTTTGCTTTTGAATCGAAGGGCGAAAAAAACTTATTAAATTGTGGCATAAGCTGAATGAAGTCCTTTTGCGTACGCCACAATCGCACACATGACAGTACAACATTTGTAGTTGTTATATTTAGTATTTTTCTGTTTTGCTCTTTGTTTGTTATTGCCTTATTTAATTTTATTTTAATTTTGTTAATTACGTCTTTTTGTTTTGTTTTGCTTGTTTTGTATCAATATTTTTTTTTATCTATGTGTTGTGGCGTTGCAATAAATGTCTATTCAATTCTATTCTAAACTTATGGCATTTTAAAAGTGTGAATGTCATCTTTCAACATTAAATTTGGTGCATTCATAAATAAATACCTCACAACTAATTACATAAGGTCTAACAAAATACTGAGGAGTTTCCGTGATCATTTATCGTGTTAGGTTTAGACCAAAATTTGCACATAAAATAGTGGTACCACACAAGTAATTTTGTTACTCTAACGCGGATCATCGTTGGTCACATCGCCGCTTAATATCAGGTGACGCTGTGACCAAATTTGTACACCAATGTTAATTACATATTTCATATAATAATGAATGAAGAAGAAAAGTTCTTTTAGTTTAGAAACGTAAACTAAGAAAAAAATCCATAGGGATCTGGCTACATTATTATTTAAGCTGAACTTAATTCAGTATTTGTAGTCACTCGTATTCCATTACTTATCGGATCAAGTGACCATGAACGAATAATGCTATATTTTATCCCTGACAAAGACAACTTGAAATAAAACTACAAATATGAGTAAAAAGACGTTCCTTTCGACAAACTTACACTTATCACGATGGTAAACAAACGGTCACATATTTTATATAAAAAATCGTTCTGTCTACATTATTATCAAAAATCAAATACAGAGTTGGGAGAAAATAAGATAAATCTGACGTCATCGTTCCCAATTTCTCCAGTGGAAATATGTATCCGTTCTCAAGGTTTTTCTAGAATATTTTATCTGTGATATGTTTTAAATGTTCTGATCGGTTCAAGACAAGTCAGATACTCTTTTTTGAAGACACCTTTATTACTTATTGCTTCAGCAAAGCAGAATTGCTGTGTTCCGTATTGAAAGGCAGGTAGATTCACAGCATTGACAGGTATGGAAAACTTTAGTTCTTATCGCGTCCCCAATAATAAAGTGACGAAATTCGAGACGTAACATTATTTGGGAATATGACGAAATCGATTTAAATATAACAAATGTAAACGTATGAAACAAAATTAATCCTTTGTCCGTATTGAATAGAATTATTGTCATATTTAGTATCAGCAAAACGGCACTGTTTATGCACACACCTTTAACTTTTCTTGTACCTTTTTGCTTACTTTACTTTTTCTGCTTATTTTTACTTTAAAAAAAGAAGATGTAGTCTTTTTTAAGTTTAGTTTAAGATTGAAATGATACATTTAAATGCACCTCGCGCCCTTTTGATTTGTCATTGTTTTGCCAGTTTTTCGAGCTCGTGTGTCATACATTGTTTTCGATTTTAAATAAACTGGAACTACATTTCTCACTTATGATTCAAATTCAACTATATGCCGCTTGCGACAAAACCAATTTAAACCGTCAAAGCTTAACGTGGCCATTTACCCAAAAATGCTCTTTTTTGAATTTCTTAGGCACTTTCATACCAGGTAAACCGTCTGACATGTTTATTTACAAGTACATTTTTGTCCACTTGCACTAAATTGCAAGACATTCTTAACACAAAGCATTAAGAGTGTCTTTTGCATAGTAAGCATTGGTTTAAGACGTACTCAAGTTTAATGCTAGTGGACTTTAGCGTCAAATTTTTTTTTGTATAGATATATTATTCTTAAATAATTCGTTTTAGATTTTTATTACACTTGTTTTCGGGATTTTATATGACAGGATGAAATACATCCTATCGTGTAAGAACTTAGCACTACAACACTAATAATAATAATATGTTTATTTTCTCTACAAACATACCTGTTAGACATGTACAAAATTACTAGCACATAATAAAATCTTATTTTTTAGTGGCACTGCGTCCGTCACCTTATGACATAAATTGAGAAAGTTCCAAGTGCCGGTAATTTCACCAGCACCGTTACTCTGCATATTCGCAGTACGGAGTACAATAAACCGACCTCAAAAGTTATTCATCCCCTAGTTTGCCACTCTTAGAGGTGAAATATTTTTTTCAAATTTAAATGGGACCACTTCTGAGGTATCCTCTTTCCAACAAAAAAGAATCATCAAAATCGGTTCACAAATTATTTATTTACACACAAATTATTATAGAGTTATTGCGTAACATAAAAAAGTATACAGTCGAATTGACCTCCTCCTTCTTTTTGAAATCGGTTAAAAAACGGAACGTAGTAATAAATTCTTAGGAGTCTTCTTTGTCCTTTGGAATTGGCAGAATAGAAACAGGGGCGAACTTAAAGCCGTAGCAATGTAGGTATACGACGAGTAATAAAACAATTAGTAATGATTATGCTATTTGAGAAAATTAATATATAAATTATGTGTATTTGTCGGTCAAATATTATGACATGTAAAAGATACACACAACCGTGTGTTTGAACAAAGGTTCATTGTTATTGGAACAAACGGTAGACGTTGAAACTTTTAAAATAAACTCGGACGAGATGTGTTTCTCCTCAAACGTCGTTCACGACCCCAATTCAGAACTCTTCGATGTTTTAACCAAATCGTTTTATTGGATATCGTTCTCGAATCGAAGGGCGCTTTGCGAGTTTTTCACAATATTCGAGTTAAACGTTCGATTCGGATACGTTATCCAACAGCGTTTACGGAGTTAGTCGGTGAAATAGATTATAAGAAAAATGAAAATCCTTTTATATACATTTTTAAGACTTTAAAGGCCTAAAATATAGGAATGTATTACTCTTGCACTAAAATAAATTAATAAAATTGAACAAAAGCCAGACTTTATTTAAAATAATAAGAGATTTACATATTACTTTCTTGCTTTGTATAATAAGACGTTCGGTAATTTTCATTCGATAACTATGTTCTGAATAAAGTTTCGATTCGTGTGTTATGGATACAAATGAAAAGAAATCGTACGATATCAAATCGAATCGGTCGCCAACTGAGTTATCGTACGGTTCTGAATCAAACCCCAGGTTGTTATAACAGTCGTACAGTCGAGCGCATGCTGCGTTTTACCTTAGACCTGTGACGGTCGATCATTTTTGATAACCCGGGTCGATCACGACCCATGCGTAATGTGATCGGGTCAAATGATTCGATCTTTCAGCGGGTCACTCGTCGCTCACGATATTCCACACGGCGTTTCAAAGTGTCAAATTATATTATAATTAGCTTTTATTCCTTTCTGCTGATGGGTAATGCGTATAAACTTTACATGTATCATTGATAAACCACAATTAGGACACTAATATTTCTTTCTAGAAAAAGTAACACCTAAAAATACATAACAAAAAATTTGTGAGCATTCAAAATTACTAATTTATTAATCATTAATATTTTTATACTAGCTAGTGCACACATAAATAACCGAAAAACATTAAACTTACAAAATTACCATGTAATGGACACTACGCTACGGAGCAATTAGGATAAATGATTGATAGACTCATTTATCCGTTAACCCGTAGCCTCGTTGATCAATTGCTTGACTTTTTGGTTCGATCGAACGAAGGTTCCATCGAACAATTAATGTTAGATCCAAACGAAGAGTGAGAAGGCTAATCATATCGTGAGTGGGGACATCACGTGAAAGTGAACGAGACAAAAGTAATATTGTGAATTGTTGAATAATCT